TTGTTGGTTAGGGCCAATGCCAGATCTGCGCTCGAAGGTTAGTCTGACGTGTGTCAAGCAAAGTGTCATAAAGCTTACAGATGGATAGAATGACGATCAGAAAGGTTCCGGATATCACAACAGCCACCATCTTCCGTCGCGCAGCCGATCCCCTGACATAGATTCCAGTGGACCCTCGCTCATCTCTTCGTCGCACCCACTGTTCACGTCGATCCGCACGACGATTCGTTCTCCTTCGGTGCTTGCGCCGCCTATGCCGCCTTCCATTGGCCTCGTCTGCAGGTTGCTGAATTGCTGGATCTACTGGACCGTCGTGGTCAGATGGTAATTGTACATCCGCTGGGTGACGCGAGTATACTGTTTCTGGTTCTTGAGGATCCTGAATGGCGCCAATATATGAGCCTGCGGTATGATGTGAAAGAGGTGCCCTCGAGTCACGTGAGTCGCGGGGCTCATCATCTGAGACATGTTGTGTATTTGGATCGGGCGATTGCTGGCGGCTCCAGAATCCGCGAAATGGTACTTTTGGTGTTGTCTCGTTGTGGTTGTTGGTGTTGGTGAGAGCTGGCGACTGTGAATAGACTGACGAGCCATTGACCAATGTTCGCACATTGCTGCGAAAGGCGCCGAATCGAGATGGCGATGAGGTTGCCGGAGAAGCCTCGATGTCCTGGTCCTGGTCTGGTCGTGGCGACCAAGCGAAGAGTGGTGACCGAAACATGGTGTTCTGTATATAGCTTCTAAGATTGACAAGGCTCAGGAACTAGGAAATACGGACCCCAAGTTCTATCTTGAGCACTCGCTGTTCCCTTATAGCACAAGGCGTGGCCTGGGTTCGGCACGCTTGCTGTTGGTCCCCCTTCCAAGATGTCTCAACGGATGAACGAGCGAACGGTATGGCTAGGCCAGCATGTGGGCCTCGTGGTGTGGGTGTAACAGGATGGAAAGTGTGGAGTAGTGTCCAGATGAGTGGATGACTGTGTTGCTCGGAGTCGTCTTGTAATGTCCGGCGCGCGAACTGTTGGCTATACCTTTCCACGCCTACCAAGATCGAAACAAGCCCAGGAACCCCCGATGGAAAAGTATTATCGTATTGGATAAAGGGTGAAATGGCGAGCAGGCTATCCAGAGCCAGCTGAGCCAAGCAAATGCAAAAGAACAGAAAGAAGCGAAACAGGCAGAGCGCAGCACCGCTGCCAACTACCAACGACTGAAAGAAAAGGACGATAGAGCCATCATAGTTGAGGAGGAAGAGTTGCTGTCGCACTAGGACACGGGTAAGGACAGCAACGAGGGCCACGGTCGAGAAAGCATTGAGCGCTATGCGTATTCGCGACGAGTCGCGTGTCAGAGTGCGATGAGAGCGACGATGAAACGCGGCTGGGCTGGAGCAGCGATCCTACGTGTAGCACAGACCGCGTTCGTCGACATGGGCATTCTGCTTTGGAGCCACCCGGGCGTGTGGTGGATGACAGCAATAGCGCAGCTCAGGGAAAGACCTGGGGAAGCCGGGCCTTGATTGGCTGTCGGAAAAAGAGCCTGAAACACCCATCCCAATCAGGTCTACGCAACCACCAGGCCCTGCTTTTAGCAACGCGGCTGTAAGGCGGCAGCAGATTGTCGTGCGTTTAGCACAATATGATAAAGGCATGAAGGCGCGCGCTATAGCAAATTTCGTCGGGTTGATTGTTCGCTAGACTGCTGTTGACGGCTGGTTGCACTGCTACGCCAACTCTCTCTCTCCTCGACGCATCCTCTCAATCACCATACTCGTCGGTTTCGCTGCATCGTCGACCATTGTGCGTACATGCGACTCCCAAACCCTGTCAACTGTCGCACCGGCGTATCCAGCCCATCCACAAACGTCCGCGTGACGTCTACCTGGGCCGGAAGCTACTGGGGCCTTTCTCCACGCTTCTCGTGCCCATCTCTTCGAGTCAGAACTGTGTAGCCAAGATACCGAAGCTTCACCCTTTCACTTGCCGAGCTCGCCTACCATGACCTTTCGGTCGGAGGAGGCGGAGACCACTAAATATTGCCAAGTCAGCTTGATGCTTCGCAGGAGACAAACAGAGTGACAGAGAGGGTGTGCGGACCGCCCTCCGTCTGGTTCCACCTTCTGGCAGGGTGTCCAGACATCCTTAGGAGCCCCAGCCGAGGCATTGGGGCTTATAGGAAATTTAAATGAACTTACAAATGGGTTCGCCAAGAGGGTGGAAACGCACGTCATTGACGGCGCCTCGGTGGCCTGGCAGCTTGTGCAAGAGTTTCCCTGTTCGTGTCTCCCAAACGGCCACGCTCTGATCCCCGCTACCAGCTGCAATCTTTTCGCCCTTGAAGTCCCAGCTTGCCTTCAAGAGGTTGCGCTCTTGGCCAGTAGGGGCTCCATCGTACGTTTTTATGCGTCGGTCAGAGGGAGCAAAGGGTCTTACATCCCATGTCCTAACAGTCGAATCGTGTGCGTTGGATAATAGTGTTTGGTTGTCTGGAGACATTTGGAGTGAAGTCACTGTATCCGTGTGCCCAATCAATGTGTATGTCACTGCCTGTTTCCGCAGATCCCAGACTTTAATGTCGTTGTCAATGCCGCCTGTGAATAGCTCGTTTCCAGCTTCTGCTAGGCATATTGCTGTTATGGGAAAGTCCGTCTGGATAAAGGTTACGGCATCTTTTGTTCTAGTGTCCCAAATCTATTGCCGCAGTTAGATCAGTCTCACAGTAGCCAATCCTGTATGCAACACTTACCCCAATATAGCCATCGTCGGAACCGCTCACGAGCACCTCTTCGCCGCGCTTGCTCACATCCATACAATTGATAACCTCCTCATGGCCTGGATGTCTTCGTATTCTCTCTCCAGTTTCGACGTCCCAACTTGCTAGGTGCATGTCTGCCGATGCGGAGAAGAGAACTTTGGAATCGCGTGACCAGTGCAAGTCGAGTACTGCCTGCTTGTGACCAGTGAGGATGCCATAGTTTTCGCAAGTGTCGGAGCTACGCCAAAGCACTGTTTACCGTCAATACGAATTTCCCAGACAATCTTGGCCCAAACTCACATATAGAACGGTCCATGGAGCCAGAAGCGATGCACTGTCCGGTCGGATCGAACCGTGCTGCAAACACTTCGCCTGAGTGACCCGTTAATTCCATGACTGGCGACTGCAGTGCGCTGGATCGCGATCCCTACAGCACCTGTCAGCGCATCGCTACCTTCAGCCTTGGTACTCGTGTAGAAAAATCCTCGGTGGTAACGTACCGCTTGTATGAGGGCGCCATTTGCGCTCGACCCGTTGACTACAGCTACTGCAGAGCTTCCTCCCAGGTTGGCATCCGACTTGGTGCGCTTGACCAACTGACTTGTGCCAAAAGCCTCATTGGCGGGTCGCTTCTCTCTAGACATGGTGGAGTATGTGTGGTGATGTAGGTTTCGTGGTGGAGTTTTCGGGTTCGTCGCGTCCAAATTCGCGGTCTGGTAGCTCGTGAACTTTCCTCATAGGCAGATCGGCGCCAAGAGATATACGCTCCACAGCCCGGGCTAGGTACGCTGCTCCGCGTGCCCCCCGACGCCGACGACACGACTCAATCATAGCAACCTCACATACCGCCTTGCCCCGCGTCTATAAAGTTCTTCTCCTCGCCCACCGTGTATATTGTGCGAAAAACCGCCAGAGTGAACCATGTCTTCGTCAACCAAAGCGGCCCGCATGGGCGAGGAGTGAGCTCCACAAGCCTGGCACCTGCTTCACGATGCGCTAATACATGTCAGAGTATGGAAGTAAGCCTTGTATACGAACCCTTTACATTTGCTGGCCCTGACTGTGTAAGAACACGAGTCGATAAAGTCAGTGCCGAACTAGTCACGCTCACGTACGGAACCATTGTTGCACAACTATGCAAAGACTACGAATACAATTACCTAGACGTCAACAAGCAACTGGAGCGCATGGGGTATAATATCGGAATACGGTTGATTGAAGACTTCCTCGCAAAGTCGAGTGCGCCTGCTTGCACCAACTTTCGAGAGGTGGCCGAGATGATCTCCAAGGTAGCCCTTGTCAAGTCGCAGATGGATTGATTGTTCAGCAGCTGATATGCAGTACAGGTCGGCTTCAAAATCTTCCTCAATATTACCCCGACCATTACGAACTGGTCGAGCGACAACAAGCAATTCTCCCTCATTTTCGAAGAAAACCCGCTTGCCGATTTTGTCGAGTTACCAGATGATGGGCGCGCACAGGATGAGTTGTGGTTCTCCAACATATTAGTGGGTGTGCTGCGGGGTGCATTGGAGATGGTACGTCTTCCCAGGACTATAGTCTGCAGCGACGTTGCAGGCAAATGAAGTACTCATTTCTGGACTAGGTACACATGCAAGTCGAGGCGCACTTTGTCAGTGACGTCCTACGAGGTAACGACACCACGGAGATGAGGATATCGCTAGTTCGCTACATTGATGACGAGATGCCACCGGATGATGAGTAGAAGACAAGGAGCAAGGGTGAAAGCGAGAGAGAGGACACATGTTCCAATTGATGTCTTGAGCATGAGGGACAGCGGTTGCTAAACGGGCATGTACAGTGTGGACGACTTCAAGCGAAGTCACTTGACCAGCGAGACAGCGATGTGCACAGGGCGCCGTTTGCTAGAGAATTGCACACCGCCACCATGGATGTCTTAAAGCCTATGCCAGACGGGCAGGCTGCATTTGGCATGGGATGCGATGCATTGCGACAGATAGAATTGCACGGTTGTAGACGGTCAGCAAGGCGCATGAGGGCACAATTGCACAATGGCGCAATTGCACTCGCACTCGCACTCGCAGCCGCAACACGATAGATTGGGGAAAGGGGGCCCTCTTTTTGCTCTGCACGTGCGTGAATGTGTGTATTGACGAGTGCGCATCTGCCTATGGTTGAGGAGGGATTGATTGATTGATGGCTGGGCCAGGGCGACTGGGTGCGCGAGGCCAACAAGGTATACACTGTGCTGTGTCTCGTCCCGCTCAAGCTGATGGCGCCGTGGGAAGTGTCCAGGTCGCGTTACATGCACATGCCCCACCACGCACCCTCGCAGCCCGTCGGGGCGTGGTGTGTAACGGGGCCTTGTCTTGACGACTGCGACTGCGACCACGACCACGACGACAACGCCAACACAGCAGCCAGCAATGGGGTGAGGCGTGTCGGGGGGCAGCCAATGCAGGGCTAAAAGCAAGCAGCAGAGAGCAGTTTTTGCTGAGGGCGCGCGGGTGGGCAAAGGGGAGGCTGGTGCGAGGCCAAAGTCTAATAATACTCAGTCACGTGGACGTGACTTGGCGCAGCTCAGCGAGCGGCCGCCGCCCTTCCCCTCGATTCCCGGGGCGTCACAAACTTCCCACGACCTGTCCACTGTTCCTCCGAGCCTCTTTGTCGCCCGACGCGCTCCATCACGTAGGCGGATCTTCGGTTGTCGTTGTCGTTGTTGTCGTCGTGATCCCATCTCTTGGCAGCCTCCGTGCAGAGCGCGCCGCTGACATCCCCTCTCAAAGTCCTTCCTTCACGCTAACCCCCAGTCCCATACCGTGCATCAGCCGCCGCCTTTTCCATCGCGACACCACCGTCGCTACCCTTTGTCGGCTGCCCTCCATCCCGCCCGCCCACGTCTTGCGCGCCTACACCCTCGCCGCCGTCCTTTGCAGGCTGAGCAGGTCCCTGGCACGCTGCTCCGGCTCCGGCTCCGATCTCCCGTGGCGACGACATCCCATGCTGTTGTAGTCCGTCCATCCAGCACCGAGGTGCACGACACATATCGCGTCTATTGCTAGCACCGCGCATCCATCGCTAACTCCCCACCCGTCTTCCGCGCCTGCCGCACCCGCCCCCCCCACGCATCGTCGCGATGCAGAACCAACAGCAAATGGCGCAGATGGCGGCCATGAATGCGAACAACGGCGCCGTTGATGGCACCCCCATGATGCGCAACATGGCGCAACCCGGCGGCAAGGGCACCGACCCCACCGAGAAGCTCAACACGTACATCTACGACTACTTTCTGCGGAACAAACACCTCAACCTGGCGCGCGCCATGCTTGAATGCGACATGAAGATGGCCACGGAAAAGGCCAGCCCAAACAGCAAGATGAATGGCGCCGACGCGATTGAGCAGATAGACGATCTGCCTCTTCCCTCGCTGCCACCCAACCAGGTTGCGGACAATTCCTTCCTGCTCGACTGGTGGGTCCAATTCTGGGACATTTACACGGCCACCAAGCCGCGCAGCAATGCCTCCAAGAACGCGATTCAATACGTCGGCCACAACCGGGTAGGTGCCAATCTTGTCCCAGCTCATTTACACGTATAGCAGCCCACTAACGGACCCCTCAGAACCTCGGCCAGTTGCAGAATGAGCAGCGAAACCAGCGCATGATGATGAACAACCCTATGAACGCGCAATACCAGATGATGAGAAACGGCGCAATGACCAACGGTAACCAGACCGACCTTAAGCGGGCGGCAGCCATGAATAACAACCGACCGTATGTTTTCCTTTTGCACCACTACCGTGTTATTCAAACACCACCCGCTAACCGCGCAGCAGCACCGGCAACCCCATGGCGGGTATGCAGCAGATGAAGGGCCCCGGCATGATGGCGGCGCAGATGCAGCGAGATGGCTCAAGCATGGATATGAACGGCCAGCGTCCAAACTCGCCCGGATCCAATGAGAATGCCCCATCTCCAAACAAGCGTCCGCGTGTCGATGGTGGTACGTCCATTTGTCAAGACCCTGATCCAATATGTCAACTAACGTACAATGCCATACAGGTGGTATGAACGCTGGTAACATGCCCAACAACCAGTTCAATGAGTTCATGCCGCAAGGCCCAGGTGCGCAGCAGAAGAACATCGAGGTATATGCCCAAAGCCTGGCCCATCAACACAGAGTGGCAATGAGTAACACGTCGTCCCCCCAGGGTATGAACTCTGGTGTCCAAGGCTCTCCAATGGCCCAGCCCGGCCTTGAAGGGCAAGAAAACCTCTTTACTGGCAACGGGCCACGACCTGGCAATATGCCCACCAACCCTCCAGGTGCACCTCAGCAAGGCAACCACGCCCTGCAAGACTACCAGATGCAGCTTATGCTTCTCGAACAACAGAACAAGAAGCGATTACTCATGGCACGACAGGAACAGGACAACCAGTCCGGTCACCCACAGCAAGGTGTCATGGGCGCTCCAGGTTTTGGGGCAGCCATGTCACCACAAGGTAGCAGAGCTGGCGGTCCTTCACCCAATCCCGCCGACCAGATGAAGCGGGGTACGCCCAAGTTGGGTCAGCAGAATCTCCCCGGCTCCCCCATGCCAGAAGGCATCATGGGACAGCAGCGCGCATCTCCCGCACCGAACATGAACTTTGACCCTAGCCTGGCACCCCCAGGAATGCCCCCGCAGTTCTACTCTCAGGGAATGCCTCAGAACGGCCCAATGGGCATGCGCCCCCCGAGCTCACATCCGCAGCCACCCAACTTTGGTGGTCAACAGATAACGCCCGCACAGATGGAGGCTATGCGTAACGGGCAGATGCAACAGAATGGTTGGCGCGGTGGACCTCAGCCTGGCATGATGCCCGGTGGTCAGCAAATGGGAGGACCCATGGGCCAGAACCCACAGCAGCGCCAGCAAATGCCACCACCCCCAGCACCTACGAACGAACAACCACGACCTGAGCCCTCTCCGTCACAGTCTAACCCAAACCCACCGACCCCATCTCAAACCAACAAGGCCAATCCTAAGAAGAAGCCTACCAAGGACAATAAGGTAAAGTTTCTAGTTTCCGTTCCACCCTGAGCAACATTGATGTTGATTGTAGAAGCCCGCAAACAAGAAAGGGGCGAATACAGGTGCGACTCCAGCAGCAACAAATGGCGAAGAGCCTCCTACTCCAACGTCTTCCACTCCCGTGGCCCCGATTACGCCAGTCCACAAGCAGTCTTTCAACCAGGGACAAAATGGTCAGCCACAGCAGCCTGTGCAACCACCAGCGCCCGCCGACCAGCCCATGGACAACGGAGGTGGTCAGCCATTTGGCAGCATTGATCCTGATGTACGGTTACTGTCTTGATGTTATTCATGGTATATTTGCTAACACCCCAATAGCCTAACAGTTTTGACCTTGGCCTCAACTTCCCCGACGACGGCGGCGCGCTCGAGACATTTGACTTTGATTCATTTTTGCACACTGGTGACAACGACGGTCTCGGCAACTTTGGCGACTTTGACTTCGCCGGTGCAACAGAAGTATAGCACAAGCCGAAAGCCTGTTGGTTTATTGAAGACCAAGCATGATGGTTACAGCGGCGGTGGGCAGTGGCGGTAGTTGGCAGGCTGTGTGGTTGGTGGCATTTGAAACCCAAAAATCGTTTCCATATACCCGTGTCGTTATCGACCGTCTCGATCGCTTTTTATCTCTTATCCGGAGCATAACGGAGCAGGCTTGGGGTTTTTGGAAACTTCGGTTGGCCTCTGTGTTTTGTTTTGTTTCACACCCTCTTTTAGGGGGGGTGGTGTTGGTTGTTGGGTGCCGGGTGGGTTGGGGGGTGCAAGGGTATCTTAGTGGGCGTTTTTTTCTTCATTTTCTTTGGTTGTTCTTATTATGTATGTGTGTGTTGTGTTTTCAACCTCCCCCCCCCTTATTTGAACCCGAGTGGACGCTACGTTTTTCCTTACTATCTTATCTTTTTTCGTTTTTTGCTCTCAATTGCAAAATTTCAGGATTTTTTTTTTTGATTTGGATTCCCGATTCTCCTACTCCCTACTACTCCCCTATCTACTACACTTACCTACTACGTATCTCGCGAAGATCTACATATCTTACTCTCTCTCTCCTAAACACACGTTCATCGCTACCGATATTCCAAACATCAAGCCAGCAAAAAAAAAAACTCCTTGCCCACACGCACTCTCTCGCTCTCTCTCGCTCTCTCCCTTTTTTCTCTTCCCTGACCTTTTGTGCCCCTGCCCTACCCTGCCCGCATCTTTTGCACTTCCCACTTCCCACCTCCCCTTACACTCTTTTTTTTTTTGCAGCTTCCCCCTTTTATCTCTCACTCACCTCACCATCGCTGAATTTCCTATTCACTTGACCCATTTGTTTTTGTTTCACGCACACCAGAGGAGAAGGAAGAAGGGATGAGGGATTTGATAAAGGAGTTGCTGCTAGTAGAGGGTGAAGATGGAAGACGGGTAAGACGATGGATAAAAAGAAGACGTTTGGAAAGATGTGGGGGTGTTGGTCTGTACTTGGTTCTTTTTATCGTTTGCGGGGGGGGGGGGGTTTGACACTTTTTTTTTGGTTTATCGAGTTCGTTTGAGGGGTATTGTTGGCATGTTTTTTTTGTCGTTCTGGGTGCTAGGAGAGGAGGAAGGCGGAGTGGTAACATGATGCGGGGTGAAGAGTGGACGAGTGAGGAGGAGAGTGTGGAAATGACTTAATGCCTGATTAAAAATCTCATTCTTTTATTTATTTTTTCCCTTGAATGTGATGGCTTAAGAGGTGTGTGTGTGTGATGTTGAAGTAACACAAAGTGCTGTCAATGACAGTGACATATGACTATATATCTTTGTGCTTCTTGAGTAAGGGATTGCTTGGTTTACTTGTCTTCATATGCCTCTTCATCCCATGAACATCCCCCAACCCCACTGTCATTTTTTCATTCGCCATCACATTCCCAACATTTATCCTATCTTTGTGCTTCCCATGTCCATCCCAGCAGCCTACATTGACAAACAAGATATCCCCCATTTATGGAATCTCCCCATGAATCTCAACTGCACCCTACACTCCCTCCCCCCTCTATCTCACTACGCCGCAGGTGTATCTAGTGCCTCACTCGCCCCTTCCTTCCATCTCACTAGGCCAGAAACGCGTTGTACACAACAACATGACATGAATCCAGAATCATACATGAACACATAGACCCAAGCGTGCAAGGGACACAGCGTGTTACTTGTATATCAACGTCATCGTACTGTAAACGCTGATAAGAAGGATGTGCAGCTTCTGACTTTGAAGACTGGGGCGAAATACTCGGAGTGCACTAGAACTACAAACTGCGTATAAGGTAGGAACTTTGTACAAACACCCACATTGACTCTACTTCCTCCTCTAAAAAAGACGGAATATAAGGAGCAAAGAATAAAATAGCCATGTACCTTGACGTTAACTAAACGATTCATCATTATGACATTATCCGAGATATACAACAGAAAAAAAAACTCCCCATC